ATTTGATAATTAATTTGGGTTAGGTTAAATGATAATTAGATTTAATCCGTGATCTAGTTCAATTAAGTTATTCGATTGAATTAATAATTGAATTAAGTAAACGTTCAAACTCAAATTAAAATATTTAGATACTGTGATAATCGAGATTACACACATTTGGTATTTTGTGAATTGATATTTCTTAATTTATTTTTACTTAAATTTAATTTGTTTGAATTTAATTTAATTAATTTGTAATTTTTAAACCCCCAAAATTTACTCGCATTTTTAAAGTTGAGCTTTAAGATGCAAATCCTTAGAGAAACTTAGTTGTTTTTATAGTGTCTCAACATCATCTATCATCAGGATACATGCAAATGCTTGAGAAAGTATTTGTCGTCCCAAGAATGTGGGAGGTCTAGGCCTAAGGTAGAACAATGAAGTTCCAGACTAATTGCATAGAACATTGGTGATGGTAGAACAGTGAAGTTTCGGACTACTTGTTGGTTATCTTATCGTCAAATTCTTTTTAATATGGCAATGGCTTCAGTTCCCTTGCTAGAAAAGGATAAAGTTGTGGTTGAGTATATAGATGGAGATGGAGATTAGAATTTGGAGTCTGTTCATGAGCTAATAAAGGTGTTGGATCTCCTTTTGCTAATAATGACAAGGATATTCTGATATGGGGAGGTGGTCTTCAGATGGTCACTTTTCAATTAAAAATGCTTATGAGGTGACTCGATCTTAATCTATTACTAGTCCATAACATTTATTTAATTCAATTTAGAAATGGAAAGAGCTTGAGCGTATTAGATGTCTGCTATTGAGGAATGCTCATGATAGTTTATGTTCAAATGAGTGGAGGCTTTCTAGAGGTTTAACGACAAATGCTAGTTGTCCGTTATGTGGTGTAGCTAGTGAAACTTCTCTGCACATCCTTTGAGATTGTATGTTCATTAATATAATTTGGCATAACTTATCTGATGGAGTTTTGTACGGTGATTTCTTTGATATGCAACTGAAATAGTGGCTGAATGCCAATCTGAATTATCCAAACCAAGTGTGGAATACAACGTTTGCAGTAGCTTTGGACTCAATCTGAAAGGCTAGGAATTTAACTGTGTTTAATCGAATTCAGTTTAATATTTGCCAAGTATTGTATGAGATACAAGGTCAGGTTAGCATTATTAAAAGAAAGGATGATTTTACTGCTATAACAATCTCTCTTAGTTTGACAACTGCACTTGTTATTAGTTGAGTTCAGCCAGTAAATGAAACATTAAAGCTCAATTGTGATAGAACTATCCGACTTTTTTGCCCAGATGAAGTTAAAAGAGAAACAATTTCTCCAAATAGAGTTATTTTATAACAAATGCCATGTCTGGGATAATTTAAAAGTGTGACGATACAATGTAAAGTGTTGGTAAAAAAAGTAACGACATCAGTTATGTATCGGCTCCATGTAACCCTACCCATGTGTGTTGGTATCCGTTTTGGCGACATTTATGTGCTGGGAGGCTACCTATTTTGTGTACAACGATCGATGAGATCAAACAATCAAAATAGCAACCGCATCTTTACAAGCCATGGGAATTTGATCCAGGGAACTTTTATCACCTTCACACGCCACATAAAAGTTAATATTACTATACCATCAATAATCAATTAGGAACTCAAAACAACAAACCTAGAAAAGAAAGGGAAAAAACCAAAAACAATGAAAATAAAAAAGCAAATGTAGAACACAGAGAAACGAAGGAAAAGTTTAAACAAAGCACCTGCAACATCCCATATCCTAAACGAAATTCTAGCTCCTTGAACAGACAACGACTTGTCCATTAAATTTAGTCCTTCCATTTGCAAGCTCCTCTTCTCCTGTTCATTCCCCACATACTTGATCTGAGAATAATAATTCCCATAACCCCGAAGTTAGTTAACACTAATAGTTGAATAAAATTCATTTTAAATCATTAAAATAATTAACATACGCCCACAAATTGATTTTAATTATATATACTTTTATTCAAAAGTACGAGAATTGACTTGATAAAAATCAAACACCTGCATGAACTCTTCAAAACAAATACTGATACTACTCCACATGACCCGTTTAAAAAAATTTGGTAAAGTTAGAAACTTGCTCACCACAAAAGTAGTTTTTCCAATATGGCAATCACCCAACAAACTGATCTTGAGGTTCACCAAATGGGAGTCAGAGTCATAGCCGCTATTGGTGGCTGTGTAGTGTTCGTGTAGGAACCCGTCGTCAACAGTGGCCGGCGGCGAAGAAGAATCCCGGAGGGGCAATTTCCGGTACCGAACCGGCTTCCCCACAGAGCAAACAACGAGTCTATTACATATAAACCGGAAAAAGTGGCCAACGAAGGATACCCTTTGGAGCACACCCCACCGGACGTCGACCTGAACGATTTTCCGGCAGAGCTGCGACATCTTCCTAGTGGTTTCGTGAATGATCTTGGCCATGGAGAAGTGGGTTGAGTTCTAAGACTACCTGCCGACACAGTGTCGCCAAAACGGATACCGACACACATGTGTCGGATTAGCCGATACTTAATTGTTGTATCGCCTTACAATTTTACAACACTTTTAAATTACCCCATCCACGCATTTGTTATGAAACTAACCCTATTTAGAAAAATTATTTCTCCTTTAACCCCATCTAGGCAAAAAAACCGCTATTTCCTCATCAAAACTGGGGCTATGGAGGTGTTCTCAGAGATTGGCTTGATAATTTTATCTTTGCATATTCAAAAATGATTAGAGCTTGTTCTATCTTCCAAGAAGAATTGTGGGCAATTTATTATGGAATTTGCTTAATCTTGTCATGAAATTGAGGCTGATTTTATTATTGAATCAAATTCAGTTGTAGCTTTTCAGTTTCTAAATGAAGGTTGTATCCAAATCATTCTTGTTACTCTTTAGTCAATCATATTGTTAGAATGGTGAGCATCATTCAAAGTGTGGAGTGTGTCCATATCCTCATAGAAGCTAACCAGGTGGCTTATATCTTTGCTAAGTTTGGTCTTTCATTATCAAATGGTGTTATTTGTTTTAAATCTCCACCTAGTTGAGCTATTTTTCTTTACTTTTATGTGTGTGTCAAGTAAGCTAATTGCTAGAATGTAATTTCAGTTTTACTTGAATCAAAATTTAAATTGTGAACACTAATTTTTATCTCTATTATGAATGAGAAATATGTGTGTAGTTTTAAAATTTTGGTAATTTCTGTTAGTTTCAGTTTTATATAAATGCAAACTTTTCTAAATCATTCATATTTTTTATTTATTTCAGTTAAATTTTCTTTATATATAATTTATGACCAATAATTTATTATAAAATATATTTATTATATTAAAATTATAAAAGTGTGATAAATATTTTTAATAAAAAATTAGTATTTTTAAATTATTAAATTAAATTTTAAAGACTGAAGCTCATATTCTTAAAAAAAATTATTTGATGAAAGCTTTTCCTCCCTGCTATTTTTACAAGAATACCCTGCACCCATGTGCCGAAATCGAAATTATTGAATTCTAAGTCATTGAATAACACTATGACACTCTTATTATTTCTTTTAAATAGTTCATATATAATCTATTTTAATATATGAAATTTGAAATTTTTTTTTTGAATAAAATATGTTTAGAAGTTATTTTTATCTTTATTGTATTATTTTTTCATTGAGTATTTAATTTTATAATATTTATTTCTTTTAATAGTATTAATATTTATTTAGTTTTTTTATATATTTTAAAAAAATTTATCATTTAATTTTATCTTATTTAATACAACATAACATTCATCATTAATAATAAAGATATTTACCTTTTTTCAAATTTTAAAATAATCATATAATATATTTTTAATTAAACAATTCCGGTACAATGTATGAAAAACTCAATAGCTATCATTTAATTTAAAATTGTGTTTTAAGAAATATCATTTCTATTTGAAGCCTGTTTAAAAGAGCTTATAAACCATTATAAAAAATAAAATAACTTATAAGTTGCTTTTAGCCTATTTTAATAACCTTTATATTATAACTCGTAGAAATAAATTTTATTGTTAAATTTATGGTGTAAGCTTTTGTTTTAAAAAATATTTAATAAATACCTAAATAAGTTTGTGTATCCAAACATGCATTTAAGATTCTCTTTTAGTTTTTTTTTTCTCTTTTCATCATGTATAACTCGTAAATTTACCGTACACTGTGATTTTTATTAAATTAAAAAACAATTAATTGGAAATATGTTGTATAATTATTTTAAGAATTAATAAATTTAAGTTAATGTTATAATTATTAATAAGAAATATTTTATTATGTTAAATAAAATTAAATAAGAACATAAAAGTATAATATAGAAAAAATTACTTAGCTTGAGAAAGAGAATTAAATCTCATAAGCGCTTCTGTCTAAGAAAGTTCTCAAAAGTGTGCTCGTTTAAGAATTTGTATTCATATAAATTATGTATAAGGTTGAAGATCTTTAAATTTTTTTCATAAATAAAATATAAATAATTTTTATTTCTATCATAAACGAAAATTATTGACAATTTTAGGACGCAAAATATATTTTTTTATTGAAAACTTATTTGCCATATTTGAAACAAAAAAGTTATCTAACATTTATTTTAAGTAATTAAAAGTATTAAACATTTTGCATTTAATATTATTTAACTTATACACCAAATACATAAAAAAAAGGTATGTGTTGTATTTAGTATATATTATATTAGGAAAACATTTTATCAAATTCTTAAATTGGTTTTTTAATAATTTAAATATTAATTTATTACTATATAAATAAACAGATATATTTATCCATAAGAAATAAAAAAATTAATCTTTGTAAAATATGAAGAAAAAAAAATCTGTTTAGAACCGATACAATAGTATGAAGTGTCCGAACAATGATAGGTGAGATAGGTCATTATAAAGGCAAGACCATACATAGCAAATAATGCATTCAAGATTACAACTAATTATTTGTGATTGCAGGGATGACTAGGAAGAAGGTGAAACTTGCGTATATCACTGATGATGCAACAAGGAAAGCAACATTCAAGAAGAGGAAGAAGGGTATCATTAAGAAGGTGAATGAACTCACAATTTTGTGTGGGATTCAAGCATGTGCCCTAATTCCAAGTCCTTTTGATTCCAAGACTGAGGTTTGGCCTGACCCAGAAGGAGCCAAAAATGTGATTGAGAGGTATCAGAATACACCTATGATAGATGAACGAAAGAACGTGAACCAAGAAAGATTCGTCATGCAATGGGTCGCCAAAACCCAAGACCAATTGAAGAAAAAGCGTCAAGAAAATCGTGAGAAGGAGATGACCCTTTCTATGTTCCAGTACATGCATGGAGAAACGCTGCCACAACACTTCACTGTTGAAGAACTCAAATGTCTTGACAACGTTATCGACAAGAATATGAAGGAGATTGAAAATAAGATTGCTGCCCTCACTTGATCATATGTTGTTTTACATTGTTTCTGACATCTTAATTCTAGTTAGTGTGACTTTATATTATATCTAAATAAATTATAATTAACAATATTAATTTAAAATAACATTGTTTATGAATTAAAATTTGCTAATTCGTGCTAGGTCAAATTTAAACCCTTACATGTCTTAATAACTTGTAAAATGGATTAATTAAACTATTAAATGGTCTTATATTATTTTCGTTAATATATATTAAATTTTACACAATTTTAATATTAACAGTTAGATGTTGACTTTTTTAATTAAATATTGTAAATTTAAAAACATTCTTAATTTATTAATTTTTTATAAGATATTTAGTCACAAAAATTGTGAAATTCACAAGTTGCAAAATTTGTAGATAGTTTTGGCATCAAGAACGTGCAACTTGCAGGACAATTACACATGTTAACGGTGAAATTAAGTTTCGTCATACTTTGGCAAAACCAATAGTTGGCTAACACATGACAGGTGACACAATAATCCCTTTCTTTCCCTTTTTCCTCCTTTCCTCTTTTATTCTTCTTCTTCTACTTCCCTCCAACGTCGATTCCTGTCCTCCATTTTTTCCTCTCTCAAGTTTGTATATGATGTGCAAATTTGTAGCTAAAATTTTGTCATTTTTAAACTTTATTTGAGGTATTAATTATATTATTTGTTTTTATATGTTATTTTATAATTTTATTATTATTTTAAAAATTTGAAAAATGAAAAAAAATTAATTTTGTAAATTAATGCAGGTCATTATGTGGTTGATGATTAGTGGAACAATTACAACGAAGATTAAAAAAAATTAGTAAAATTTTTGTTGTTAACTTTAAATAATTTTTCATTAATTTGTGTTTAGATTAGCATGTTTAAAAAAGAGATAAAGTTGTAAAATAATTGACTAAAATGTAATTTTGTAGATAGTTGTTAGAAAAAAAAATAATTTAATGATATTTTTAATTATATATTCGCATAATATTATTGATATGATGTTGTATAATATATTTTTTATACACTTATTTAGAGAATAACACAAAAATAGTTAACTAAAACAATTCAATAATAATAATAATAATAAGTAATATTTAGTTTAATTGTAATAAATATTTTTTACACCCATTTACTATTTATTAAATTATGATTTAAAAATTATAAATTTTGTAATGTAATAATTATATAAAAATTAATTTTATTTAATTAAATAATAATAATTTGTAGTTCATGTATATATATTATAAATATTTAAAATGTAATAAATAAAATAATTTATATGTAAGTAATAAGGGTTTTTTATTTAAATAACATAATATTATTTATATAAATTTTACTAATTAAGATGTAATAAAAAAGTTCTTATATGTTAGTAATTTAAATAATTTTAATTCAAATCTAATAGTAATATGTATATAAATTTATAAGATATTTGGTGGTATCATATTAGCAATATGGATTTTATTTAATGTAAATGTAATCATATGTAATTAAAAAAAATTTAACTTCATTATGTTAGTAATTTAAATTTTTTAATTAAAATATAATTTGAATTTTTTTGTAAATATAAAAAATATTATTTTTAAATATGTTAGTAATTTAATTTTTTTAAATATAGTCATGATTTTTATGTAAATCTAAATAAGATATTGTTTAATTATATTATTCAAATTAATGAAAGTAAATTTTTTTTTATAATTAAGTTAGTAGGTTGAATTTTTTAATAAAAAATTAATAGTAATTTGTATGTAAATAATAAAAATATTTTTTAGTATTATATTAGTAATTTTTTTTAAATTTTAATGTAATCATAATTTGTATATAATGATAAAAATTTTAATTGTGTTAGTGATTTAAATTATTTAAATTAAGATGTAATTTAAATTTGTATATATAACAAATCATTTAGTATTATGTTAATAATTTTATTTTTATTTTAAATATGGTTATGATTTGAATGTAAATCTAAATAAGATTTTGTTTAATTATATTATTAAAATTAATGAAACTAAATTTTGTATTGTAATTATGTTAGTATTTAAAATTATTTTAATGAAAAATTAATAGTAATTTGTATGTGAATATAAAAATATTTTCTGGTATTATGTTACTAATTTATTTTTTTAAATTTTAATGTAATCATAATTTCTATCTAATGACAAAAATTATTATGCTTAATTATGTTAGTAATTTAAATTATTATTTTATATATATTAGTTAAATCAGTTTTTTATTTCCTTTAAAATTCACCCTTTCATTTTCTTGATAAATTCTACCATTTTAATATATAATAATAATAATTCCACTCATCTTGCATTTTTTACAAATAAAATTTTTTAATATTTATTTTTTTGAAATAAAATTTAGAAAAATAATAATCATTCAATGATTAGTTAATTTATTTAATTGCAAATAAATTAATAATTACTAAATTCATACTTTTAAATTAAATTAATAAAATAAATTATAAAATAAATAAACTAAAACTAACTTGATAATCCTCTTAAACTCGTTCTTCTTAAATAAAAAAAATGAGGTGTAGGAATAAAATATAAAGTGTAAATAAGTAAGAAGATATATAGTATAAAAGTTTTAATTAGCAATTATGCTACATATCAGATCCTTATAAGTTATATAATTTTTATGGTAAAACTTACTTAGATTATAATACATTTAACCACTTCAGAGTTTTGTGTTGGTGCTGTCTATGGTGAAACTGTCTTTTAATTTCACCAAACATATTACAAAATTACACATATATTGACACGTATATTATGATAGTTATTTCATGATTTTAGTGGCAAAATTATTTAAAAAAAAAAAAAAATCAACATTTTTCACCTACTGTTTTGTCAAAACTATTGCTATGTGGACAAACTTGTTATAGACAGAGAAATAGTTTAAAAATAATAATAAATTAAGAATTTATTTTTAAATTTGTAATATTTAAATAAAAAAACTTAGATGTCATCTAAAATTTGATATTTATTTATATTTTAAGATAATAATATTTATTAAAATAAATTAATATAATAAAGTATATTAATTTTATTTTTTATGAAATTTGATAAAGTTGATATATTTGATAAGAACATAAAAATCGCATATTCGAGTCGTGCATGAACCATTAATTTTATATTTAATTCATATATAATATATTATACATTAATGTTAATACCTGCTTTTTTTTTTAAGTAGGGTGACATATTAGTTAGAATAACCTAAATAATATGTATAGAAATTCACTCACTGGGTATAATAATTTTTTTTACGATGAAATGTCATTGAATTTAACTATTAAATTATATGATTTCATTTTAACCATTATATATGTCAAATTTTAATAAATTATATATTTATAAATATGTAACTTTATGTTGCAAAATTATCAACCGATGAATTAAATGATCTAATAGCTTTTTTATTATATGATAAACATATTTAAATTTTTTATTATAATACAATAATATTAATTTTTTAAATTTTTTAATAAATTTTGAAAATATATAAACATATTCTTAGCAAATTTTCTAAGTTTGTTCAAATACTTGAATTTCACATTTTTAATTAAAAAATTTATCTGAGATGCCCTGATAGTATAAAAATCATATTTATCGTGTTACAATATTAATTAAACACACTTTTAAAATTATTTAACAACCTAATAATTAAAATGAATTTCATATTTTGTGACATGAATTTGAATATAAAATTTTGGGATTGAAATTAATTTGGACATGCAGCTTAAATATGTTTGATGTTACACAATAATTCTTTTAAAAACTAAAACAAATGAATAACATTTTAAACATGTCCATTTCAATGGTCTTTTTCTGAGTAGAATATTAATTTTGTCCTTAAAAGATTTAACATCGTTTATATTAGTTTTTGAAAAATGAAATTATCATTTTGTCATTTAAAATTTAAAAACTAGATTAAACTGATCCTTTGACGAGCAAAAATATATATTGCTAAATAAATATGTATAATAATAAGGCTCAAATCTGGTTCTCTTATTAAGAAGTATTTTTCTTTCATTTTATATTTAGTACTTTGGATCAATATCGAATGAAATTATAATTAAAGCAAAACAAAATTAAAATTTATAAGGAAAAGAAATAAAAGTTAGAACTTATAAGTGATATATATACAAAACAAGGGAAGAACAGGTAATTGGAGAAAATGAAAGGTGAATCATTTTAGTTTTAAAAATTAATCTGAATGGTTAAATTAAATTTAAAAGATATCATTGGATGTTCTTTTTTTTTTTTTGCAATAATTAAAAATGGAAAAATAAAATGATATTAAAATTAATAATCATAATCATAACAAATGAATATTTAAAAGGATATAAAATGAGAATCTAAATATATTTAAAAGAAATACATGAATATTAAAATTGTATATGCTATTTCTTTTACAGAAATAAGTTGAAATATTTTTTTAAAAGTTTAATATTTAAAATAATTATATTATATTATATATTTAATTATTTTTAAATATAAAACATGTGCATTGCACAGGTTACCTACAAGTTATACTTAAGGTTGATTTTTTTTTTTTTTCATTTTCTAGAGTATCTTAATAACTTATATAGAAGGAAAAAATTATAAATAATAAATAATGAAAATAAAAGAGATAAGAGATATAAAAATTGAAATAGAAAAAGTAATAAAAAATAGAAATATTATAATCACGACACAAATTTTTAGAAAAAAATAAAATCAGAATTATAATAATTGATAATGAAAATATATGAATAATATCCAATAAAATGATAAATGCAATAAATGTAAACAAATATAAGTAAGAAAACTTTTCTTTGTCATCGTCATCCTTAGTAAGCATGATTGGTTTAACATTACAATCACTAACTTTCTTTACTATTTTATCTTTATACGAAAGTAATTTTTTATTTAGTTTTTATAAAAAAAATTAACAAATAATTTTTTTGACTTCAGAAAATATTTTATTTATAATTTTTTATTGCAGTATTTATATATAACTCAAATTTTTTATCTTAATTCTTATGCATAACAATTTTTTTTGTCTTTTATACAAAATAAAATAAACAAATTAAAATAAAAAAATGACGTATAGGAAAAATAATGAAAAAATTATTATATAGAGAAAAAAATTATGAACAGAGATCAAAATACAACTCATCGTGTAAATAAATTTGAAAAAGTTATGACTATTTATGATATATTATAAAAATGTTATTGTAACAACGTGTTATGAGAAATTTATAATGAAAGGATAGTGTTTGAAAATTAAGTAAAAAGTGAATTTTTTTTAAAAATATCAAAAGGAGAAAATGTGAACTAATTTTTATGTATGAAATTCATCATTATTTTAGTTTTGTTCCTTTATTTTAAGGTCAATTTTACTAAATTTTAGTATAAATGGCTGTAGAATACTTATTTTACTAACAAAATTTTGACATAATACTTTAAATATTTCTAGTATTGTTCATTAATTAAAATTAAAAATTTATTTTGATGACTCATTTTTTAAGTGAAACTCTAGTTTTAATTGAAAGATAACATTGAAAGGATTTAAAATACTCCATTATCCATATAAATTTTATCTTTGTTTTTACTATCTTGTTGCATTGCGTCTCTATTCTTATTTCATAACAAACACAATGGCGAACTTTAATTTCAATGGATTTTATTTTTTAGTCTTTGTACATAAGACTTTACTTACAATTCTACATTTCTTAATACATAACATTTTTTCTTACATAAGGATTAAAATAAAAAATTGCATTATATATAAAAATTATAATAATAAAATATGTTATGTGTAAAAACTAAAATAAACATAATGTAAATAAAAAAAATAACATTATAATGTAGCATAAACTTTGTTAACATTATTTATTTTAAACTTTATTGTTATTTACTTTATCTTTTATATTTAGTATTTTTTTTTATTAAGATTAGGCTTTGTTGGTTCATAATTTCCATTTAAAAGGTATCTTTATTTGAGTTGAAATAGCACTTTGGATGTCCTGTTTGGATGAGAGGCAACATTATAAAAGAAAAAAACAAAAAGAAAAGAGAATATGAAATAAATTAAAAATATTTGGTGATTGGATAAATTGAAATAAAAAATTGAAAAAATGAAAAAAAAAAAAAAGATTCTAGTTTAGTCTACACAAAGTAAAATTGATATATTTTAAATCATAAACTTTAAATTATCATTAGTAAAATTTTAATTTTACCTATCATATCAATAAAAATAATTTTATTGTTATTTTATGATAATAAGTTAATAACAATAAAAATCGCCATTATTATGATTAGACTATAGAGAGATAAATAATCTTATAATAGTTTAATATTTTATAACACTGTCTATAGTATAATTGCTATTTTTCTATAAAATCACGTAATATATTATATAAAAAGCTTAATAAAAGTTATTGATTTTAGTCCCTCTATTCCCTTAACAATATCATTATTTAATGATTACTGCAGATCAAAAGTGCTGATTGTAGAAATATCAGAGACTAAAATCATAAAAAATTTGAATGGAAAAAAGATAAATACTCGTAAAAATGTAGACTAAATAAATATTTAAAACCAGATAATATATATATATATATATATATAAAATATTATACTATATAATATTTTATAATTTCTGATACATTATACATCATAATTTTATACATTAAACGACTTCCTCAAATTATATATTAAACGAGATAAACTCAAAAATTTAAAAGAAATAATTTATTATTTTAAATACTGATAAGATATTTAATCAATTTTTTATATCAATGATAAAAGATAAACTTAAATATATGATTAATTTTTATAAATATAGTATATTCTGTGAGAGTCAACTCAATATTTTTATATAATATGTTACATCATTTAATTTTGTAATATTTTATTATTTAAAATTAATATTTATAAATAAGTTTTTAAAAATAATTTAAATATTTGTAAAGGAAAAAAATTTCACTTTCCTTTTCTATTACACCACCTCACCTCCTAGCAGTGTGTTCCCACCCCTCTATCTTCACGTAGGAGTGCTGAATGTCAGACAAAATTAAATTTTAATTTCTTAATATTTAGAGTTAAATTTTAACAAAATTTTTTTATAAAAATTTGACACAAAATATATTATATTTATAAGAACTAATCACATATTTAAACTTAAAAAATAATACTAGTTTGTATCAACAATGAAAGCAAGACAAACATATTATAATATGAAATAAAGACGTAAACACAAAACGTCAAATTATGAGTATAAAAATATTGAATTTCAATTTTTTTAAACCCTAAACCAAAAACAAAAACAAGGTAGTGGCCACGTGTGATAGCTGAGGAAAACCATTTAAAATAAAAATAAATTAAGCTTGTTAAATTCTTTAAAAAAATAAAAGTTATATGCCTATAAAATTTTTGCCAAGTTTTCTTAAACTGATTGTTGATATAAAAAGTTCTCATTAGGTGTATAAAAATTCTCAACTATTATATTTTGATTGGGCTTATTTGTCTTCAATATTTGAAAGAGAAAAATCATTTATAGAGTGAAGTGAGATTCAGATTATGATTATCGTTAGGATGAAATACCACTTCAAAAGGAAAGATATTTAAAAAATACAATCACACAATAAATTGTAATACCAAATCTATCTAATTTATAAGGATATGCAATGGCTTGATTTTTTATTAAATGTCTCCATTATTATAGAGTTCATACACCAGTTTATAGATAAAAATAATAATAATTAGTATTCACATAAAAGATATTGTAACCGTGTTATGAGTTATGAGTTATGAGTAAGATATCGACAAATAAAATATGATTCTAATGATATAGAAAACGAGACCCTGAGCCCTTGACAACTCACTATATTAACATTCTTTCAACCAAATAAGAAAATTTCCATATTTTGCAAAAACATTAAGGTGTGACGGTGTATGGAATACAGCTTTCTATTATTTTCTAATATAATAGACCAATACAATCACTGTAAACAATGGATGCCTAGATAAGTTTCTGTTTGGAACCCAAGAGAGTATCAGCGAGTGTCCAAACAAGGGTTCCCCTAATTTCAACTGGAATAGGTGATAGCTCTCTATAAAGCGCATGAGGTACAGCGCAAATAATGCATAAAAGATTGAAATTTCCAGCTACTTTCTTCGTGATTGCAGCCATGACAAGGAAAAAGGTGAAACTTACCTATATCATCAACGACATGTCAAGGAAAGCAACATTCAAGAAAAGGAAGAAGGGTATCATTAAGAAGGTAAGTGAACTGACAATTCTGTGTGGGATTGAGGCTTGTGCTATAATTTCCAGTCCTTTTGATTCCAAGGCAGAGGTTTGGCCAGATCCAAAGGGAGCCAAGCAAGTGATTGAGAGGTATCAGAATGCATCTGTGATTGATGAAAGCAAGAATGTGAACCAAGAGAGCTTCATCATGCAGAGGATTGCCAAAGCCCAGGAGCAGGCAAAGAAGCAGCGTGAGGAGAACTGTGAGAGGGAGATGACCCTATCTATGTTCCACTATGCAAAAATCAAAATGCTGCCAAAACACCTCACCATTGAAGAACTGAAAGATCTTGACAAGCTCATTGAGAAGAATATGAACGACATTCAAAATAAGATGGCTGAGCTCAGTACAGTCAGTTGATTAGGTGTTGTTTTATGTTGTTTGCTGTGATCCCTGTCTTTGCTATTCTGTTCAGTGTTTAGAGGCATCACCTCTGTGTCTGTCTTTGAGAATATTTAAATACAAGTCATTAAAGACTAGCATTCCAAATTTCCAATTCTCTTATTGACGAACCAATTAAGAGACAAACTAGATGATGCACAGGCTCCATCAAAATCCAAAATTTCAATAAATCCACTTAGAACGGGGAAATATTTCTTTCGTTTAATCTTTTATTTAGAGTTGTCAAATAAATTAGACAAACTATTTTAGTCTTAACTCGTGAGTTCGGACTAAAAAGTTTACAAAGCCAAACAGTCCATAGAAACAAAAAACTCAGAAGATTAAGTGAACTAAGACTAACCTATAAGTTAATTACTTTTTCAAAATATTATTTTAACTTTTTTTTTTAATAAAATTGTCATATATTATCTTACGAAATAATTTATTAAATATTTATTTTTATAATATTTTTTTATCATGAACTTGTTGACTAATAAAATTACTTAATAAATAAAAAAAATTAAATTTATGTAATATTAAATATTTATAATGATTGTTATTAAATAATATTATTAAAAATATAATTATTTATAATCAAATTACTTTACATATTTCTTTTAATTTTTATTTATATTATTGATAATTATTAAATGACTGTAATAATTTTTTAAAATATTATTTAAGTATTAATTATAAATTTTTTTCATATTATACAAGTTTTATATTATTATTTTTCTTTATATTTTTTTATAAAATTATTAAAAATATTAAAGATTTTAGTTTTCTTTTTTTGTAAAAATCATATTCTATTTGTGTTGAAACATCTTATATTTAATAAATGAAGTCACAATAAATACATAAAGTTAACAACAAAAAGTAACAAGACAATATTTGTTGAGTCAGCTAAATAAAAGTTAATGTAAAAAAAATTATTATCATTGTAGATATAAAATATTCAATATTATAAAATTAATAGATAAAAAATATAACTTGTGAATATAAGAAGAATTAATGAATATTTATAAATTTAACTTGACTCATTTTAATTTAATATATATCTTTTAAAATAACTTATGTTTTTAACAAGGAATTTATGATAAAACTTAATATAAAATTTTAAACTCTCTCTATATATAATACTAATTAAATTCAAATAAAAATATAATAATTATAAAATATTTAATTTTATTTACTTCAATAATTTATTATTTTAATCTAACAAATATACATAAAATTAACAAGTATACATAAAATTAACTATCCTACAGCCATGCAACATCAAAAAAATTACCCATATGGTAAATTAAAACACATACATATAAATTGATAAATTAAATAGTAATTTAATTTGTAATTTTATTTTTTATTTATATAAATATTTACTAATTATTAAATTTAAATATATATATTAACAACTATATTTTTTTATTTTTTGTATAATTTCTTTAAAAAAAATCTATCTATATCTATATAAAATTTATTAAAAATAATCATTTAAAGTTTTACATATTTATATTTATATTTTAAAATAATCATACCATATATAAATCTAAATTATAATAAATTCATAATTATTAAAATTCACTTTTAAATAATTACTAAAATTGATTAAATTTACTAAAATAATTATTAAAAGTTAATATTTGTCCATTTACTTTTAATTAAATTAATTATTGTTATTTTAATAATTTATTTAATAAAATCTTATTTTATCATTTAATTATTGTATAGTTAAAAATATTCATTACTAATTCTTAATTAAAATCATAAATTATTAATATACCATATTAAATTTAATTAAAAATTAAACAAATATAAAGATAAATTTATTTTCATTTTATAATATTTTTAATGTAATTATATTTAATATTATTTTTTTATTTTTAAAATATATTTTTTATTTATTTAAATAAGATAATTTAATTAACTTTATAAACAAATGTAATAATAGTTATTAATTACTTTTCAAAATAAGTGAGATAATTTACTCTTAACCCTAATTCTAGTCCACTATTTTTTTATATTGGGCTAGGTCAAAGTGAACCCTCTAAGTATAAAGATTTAGAAAAAGGATCTATACAATAGGTTAAGTAGATTAGGACCGAGAGATTTAACTCATTTTGACAACTCTACTTTTTTCTCACATATGTCAATTTTCTCTTTGCAATTGTACAACTTTCAGAAAGCACTTATTATTTTTTCTTTAATAAGTGAGATAATTTACTCTTAACCCATCCATTTCTTCACTTTGATAAGACATATTCTAATGTGCTAATTTTTTTTAATCAAAAGTTTGAGGATGGGCATACATTAATTTTAATTATTGATATTTTTTTTTTAAATTTGATGATTAAGATTAAAATTTGTTAAAATAATGATAACTCATTATAATCAGTGCTCATGTGTTACTTTTTGGTTTCTAGTGTTACCTAACCCCTCCTAATCTAAGCATATCTTCTTCCTTGTCATTGGTCACCACACAGTGCTTTTAGCCTCTTTCATAAGTGAGAGGTAGACTTATGAAACAAGATAGGGGAGGGAGATAAAGAGTCATAACCATATTCTCCAATGATGTTTCATCTTCTACAGCGACTTTCCATCTTTCTTAATGGTGTTTTGTCTTTTTCAACGATGTTAACAAAGGGTTTTGTTATCGGAAGCAGAGAATGAGAATTAGAGGATAAGGTAAGGTGGTAGACTTCCTTAGTTATGACCCTCGTACTCTTGCATGAGTTATAATAAGTCTGTATTTTGACACACTTTTTCAACATATTTATACGTACTTATTCTTAATTTGAATAGATTTTTACATTAGTTACCTTGTTATTTGTTGTAGTTAAACATGTCTGAGGATACAATAGACTAATGAACTTTTTGGGCACAAACTTAAGAGAAGCATGCCAAAACTGGATGAAACACGCCCAGACCTCAAGTAGTCAGCACACTCTGCTTTGAGATGATGCACAACCATGCATAATGTCAAGAATGGTCATTCTTTCCTTTTGGTACAGCCAAATGAGGATGTTTCCTTTTAGATCTGCATTGAAGAATTTAAAATTCAAATTTCATAACAAATCAGATCTAGATCAACTGGCGAGTTGCATCGGCGTTATCTCGAGTATACCCTAATCTCTATTAAAGGACTTCAAGGGTAACGACGAGGGACATCTTCATTTTTACTCACATATTTGAAAACGCTTGGAGTCATAGAGAGAGAGGGTCATTGTCAAAGACAAAGAAAGCTTCTTCGAAGTTCAAGCAAGTATCCATAATGTGTTTGAAGGATAAGAACTTTGATCATCTCCTTCCTTAAGGAATCCTCCTGATTTGTATTCTTCTTTCATATTTATGGAATTTATTACGATTGTTCTAATTATTTATTTTATGATGAGTAACTAAACTCATAACTAGGGTTATGATAGACTATTTGCATGAATTTGTGTGATTTTTCTATTTGATAATAATTTCAGTTTTCGTTTGAGATTGATTTTTATTCTAGTGTGCATATTTGTAAGTTAAGAATTGGCCACTTCTAGCATATCTTAATTAATTATATAGTAAGCGATTGTACCACATGTAGTTAATGGACTCATAGAATAAAACGAGATAAGGATTAGGTGGACCAAGTTTAACTCTTATGTTCCAATCATTATTTAATTAACAAATTTATAGGTGCTTCATGCTTTCTTATCTTTTTACCTTACATGACCATTGGATGTTAAAAAATTTGTATGAGTAATTGATAATCATAAGAAAATCGGAATTAGAATTAAGTTAAAAGAAAACATAAAAACGTGTAAAGGCAAACCCATAAGCCTTAGGTTCTCTTCCAATTAGTAATCAAAAGTGTCTCTTCACTATTTTTAACCTGTTAATTAGTTCATTTACTTTTTAACATATTTCTTAAATTCAAACAATTAGATCAAGACTTTTTTCATATTTGGAAACAATCCTTATGGGATGATAATCTGGGAAACTTAATTAAAATCTTTTATTACTTTTTGACAAGTACACTTGCCTACAAATAGGTTAGAAGTTGAAGTTGTTGGAATCAAAGTTTGTGAAAAAGAAAATGGAGGAAGGAGATGGAGATGTTTCATCTATTTTCCTTCTCTAACAACATTCTATTTTCTCTAATGACCTTTTGTCTTTTATGGCGATGTTTCATCTTTTTTTAGTGGTCTTTCTTTGCAACTTATTCATTTGCTTATCTAACAACAAGTTTTTAATCTTAACTATTGAATTAAATATTATGAAATGATCCATCCGCATTTTTTGGTGAAGCCATCTTCCAAAAAATAAAAGGGAAGAAGGTAGATTTCACCTTTTAATTAACCTTGCTTGAATCCTATTTGTTGCATCCTCTCAATCCTCCTCGTCTTACTCCTACTTCATCTTTCGCATTTTTCTCCTAACGTGGATAAAAAAAAGTTTGCATCCTTTATTCTTAGGTGAATATTTGTATAAATCCTTCTTCTATTTCCTTACCTACTCTTCAAATAAAAGAATTTTTTTTATCAAGATTAGAAAGTTATGTTATAATATTGAAGACCCAACTAAAATTATATTGCCTAATGTGTTTTTGAGTTTGATATCTTGGTGAATCTTGGATACATCCTCTCAACTTGAATATTTACTTTTTTAGGAAAAACAAAATCACTTTAAGGGATTTCAGAAAACTATGAAATGAAACTTTATAGTGGGTACTATGTTATCCTTTGCCATGTTTGGATTGAGTTAATTAAAGCTCATATTTTTAATAATTCTTCTCATCCCTTATATTTAATGTATAAATTTTAGGTCTTTTTTTTTGTGGTTAACCCATGGTCATGTTAAAGATAATAATAAGCTAAATTAGCTCATCTTAAGGCTAAATATGACTAATTATTTATGAATAGTTAGTTTCTTTTCAAACTTTCCTAAGACCAACTTTAAAGTCGTATATTTAAGTACCATTTTTTGTTATATATTAAAACTCA